AAGCAGTAGAGTTAAAACAAGGAGCTCTGGTAGCATAGTGCCTAGGGCACTTGACTGCTAACCAGAAGGCTGGAAGTTCAAATCCACCAGCCACTCCTCGGAAGGAAGATGGGGCAATCTACTTCTGTAGTGATACTGCCTCGGAAACCCAAGGAGGGGTCGCTATGAGTCGGGTCAGACTCAACGGCACATAACAACAACAACAGAGTTAAAACAATAGGAACTGCATTATATAAACACTTACTTTGTTATATATATTTAGAAAAGGAGCTCTGGTGGTACAACATAAGAAGAAAAATAAGGCTGTCTACTTTCATAAAATTTACAGCTTTGGAAATCCTAAAGGCCAGTTCTCCTCTGTCCTGTAGGGTTACTATATGAGTTAGAACTGACTCTATGGCAGTGAGTTTGGTTTTGGTTTGCCATAAAAGATAATGAAACCCTTTGGTTAATTAGATAATGGTACTACTTTGTTCTCTAGCCATAGGCTAGTTGGAGGAAGGTAAAGAAAGCAACATAATTGCTCAGGAACAATCTCTTGGAAAGCACTCCCCATATAGCATTCCCCATCCACACACCCTTGTGTGGGTGAGCTTATTTTTGTATTGAGCTTCCTGGGAAGGAGGAAAGGTGTCAAACCAAGCTAAATTCTTTGTAAATTGTGTACTTGCCCAGAGAAGAACACTGTTCCTATTGTAAGGACTCTTCCTTAGTGGTTGTATCACAGGAAATCAGGACTTACCTCTGAAGATCCATGATGACTAGCAAGAAGGATGGAGTGAGAAATTTCACAGTCATGCCAAGGTGACTTCATGTCTTAAATCCTGAAGAAGTCTTTTCAATGTTTCTTTGTGAATGTGGTTTTAGGCCAAGGATGCAATAAATAAGTACTTTGAACCACCAGCTCCACCATAACATAGATGTGTGATCTTTGAGTTTCCCCCACTTAAAGTAAGGATATTTGTATTTATCCCATTTTTGTGAGGATTAATTTGCACACACACACACATATATCCCTGACATCAAGTAAATTTAAGTAATATTTAACAAGATAGCATGAGATGACTACACAAATCTTTCAGCAAAAGAAAACTTTCCCCAAACCACAAATGTTCACATTTTAAAGTATCATAACTCTTTGTTTACTTGTCAATCACTTATTGCCAAGTAATTTCTGAATTAAATCCCACATCAACATTAAAACCAGTTAGCAAGTTCCTCAAGTATTCTGAAATTCTATGGCTATTTTAAAACTTTATATACACCAAACTTTTAATTTCAAACGTCAACTTCTATTTTTAATACAATCAAATTTTGAGCCGGAGCTCAAATTTGAGCAAACCATAACTTGAACTGGTGTTGTGTTTCCATGAAATTATCACATGCTTTGATCTGGCTCAATTAGGTATTTTGGAAACCACTATTTCTCCAAAAGCACTTCTCAGGCAAATGAAATGAAGCTTGCAAGTCAGTCATCTGAAAAATAAAAAATATAAGCCACAACTCTTAGAGTAGATGACAATGTACCAGTTTAAAATTTAAACCAGGAAGTGTACAACTATTTGCTTTATAAGATATGTAGCTATTACCAACATTGTCATAGATACAGAAATGGAACTCATGAAGTTTATAAGGCACACAAACATCAGGTGGATGAACTAGGGTTTGAATCCAGATGCTCTTTCCACTAATAATACACCATTTAACTTTCCATTAGCTACCATCTTATTCCCACCCCAGTCAAACAGCCCCATTGTACTGCTTTCTGGTCCTTGACTTTGCCACTTGAGTGTCCTTGAATAGTTTTCCTATCTAGAATGTGCTGTTTTCCTTCATCTCCCTCTATTGAAGTCGTCCCATTCTTCAATCTCCTGCTCAAACTGCTTATGGAAGATTCTGCTCATATGCCCTGGGAATTATTTTAGTAGCACTTGCCTACTCTAATATAGTCAGATCTTTACATGACTTTCTTCTTCTAAGAGACCAAATTCTTTGAGAACAGATACTTAGTCTTGTCCATCTCTATATCCCACATATTACTCAGAAAGTTGCTTAAAAAATATTTCTGGAACTGAATTATTTCTATATGTAGTAGGTATCCCCTTTCATTCTGTTAACATATGTTAGAAAATCAAATCTTCTGGACAGTTGTACCACGCTCCTTGAGAGCAGTAATAGTTACTGGAAACGCTTTAAAATGTTTTGAAAAGGACTTATCATAAATTATATCCCCAATAAAAGTGGTTTAGTAGAGTATATCATTACAGATAATATAATTTACTGAAAGAAATGAGGGATCATAAAATGAAAAATCGTAAATGACTTTGCTCTAACAGCTGCTACTCTGTCGGCTACACAATACTATGATAAAGTTATCTATAAATAAAAAGGAATGGAATTGGTAATTATTTATCAAACTGGAAAGTTTTCATGTTAAAAACATGTTTATTAAAATCAATGTTCAAATAAAACTTCAATCATGCTGAAAATTTGATAAGAGAGCAGGGAAGTGTGATGACTCAGGTTTGGTTTCAAAGCACGGGCGGATGGTTGCATATTGTGGAATTTCCTCTGACATAATGCAAGGATGAGGGTGCATATGTTCTCTGTGTTACGATAGTATAAAAAGCCGCTGGAGCACTCCAGCCAACACAAGTCCTCAGAGACAGCAGAGTGTACAAGTGTCTAGGAAAAGAGCCAGTGAGAAGTTTACAGGAAGTAACAGGAAGTAACCAGCTTCTGTAAACATGACTTCCAAGCTGGCTGTTGCTCTCTTGGCAGCTTTTATGCTTTCTGCAGCTCTGTGTGAAGGTAAGCAAATTTTTCTCATCTGCAGAGTTGTCCTCTGTGTAAGTGCTCAGATGGTAAGACTATCAATACTTTGACAACAAAAATCCTTTTGATTCAGGAAAAGAAAATCTTTACAGTCATTTAATGCTAAGTTGAAATTTTAATTATTTAGGCTGTTCCTATATGAAGTATAGTAAAATAGAAACTTTTATGTGGGCATTCTATTTCTATTATTCAGACTCTATAGTATGCATATATGTAACATAAATCTTTAATTTATACTATATTTTATTGGCCATAAACCAAACCAAACCAAACTCACCGCCATCGAGTGAGATCCACCTCACAGTGAGACCTCCTTGGGTTTCCAAGGCAGTATCTCTAAGGAAGATTGCCCAATCTTCCTTCCAAGGAGTGGCTGGTGGGTTTGAACCACCAGCTTTCTGATTAGCAATCAAATGCCTTAGGCACTATGCCACCAGAGCTCCTTCTTGGCTGTTGTTATCCGTATTAGTTATTATTGGTCAAGGTAACTCAGGTAATTTCCCTCCACTTAGTATTTTATTGACAAAGCTCTGACAACCACCAGTTTCTGTTTGGTTTAAAGACACCCTGATCCTGGGATCCCTTTTATGAAAAAAATATAGATTAAGATGTTTATGGCACATAATTTCTATATATTTTCTTTGCTCTTAGCATTCAGAGTTTTACTAAAATTTAAGATACCTCTATGCAACTCATAGATACATTACTATTAATTCTTCCTGAGATCATTTCTCTGTTGGTGAATTTTAGTTTGCCTACTATAAATTCAAGGAGTTCTGGTGGTGCAATGTCTAAGGCATTTGACTGCTAACTAGAAGTTTAGCTTTTCAAATCCACCAGCTGCTCCACAGAAGGAAGATGGGGCAGTCTACTTCTGTAAAGATTTATTGCCTTGGAAACCCAATGGGAGTCACTATGAATTGGAGTCAACTCTATGGCAGTAAGTTTGAGTTTGGACTATAAACACCCTCATGATATCACAGAGGATTATGCAATATCAAGTAGAATAAAAAGTATATAAAGATGTAAACAAAGACAATTCCAAAATTTTATGTAGAAAGTCATTCGATAAATTCAGTCATGATTGTTTTAAAAATAATGGAGATCAGGGTCTGGGAGAGTTTCAGGCCTTCAGTTTCAGGAACAGATTTGTGAAAAATATGATGTTTTTCACAGTTCCTGAATAATCATATTAGAATTACAGAAGGAATTGCTAGCAGTGCTGTGCCCTTTGATGAAATCAATCCTTAATTGCTTTTTTTTGTTTGTTTGTTTTCACAGCTGCAGTTGTGTCCAGGATGGCTACAGAACTTCGATGCCAGTGTATAAAGACACATTCCACACCTTTCCATCCCAAATATATCAAAGAACTGAGAGTGATCGATAGTGGACCACATTGTCCACATTCAGAAATCATGTAAGTCCTTTCAAAACTGATTAGATAATTTGCTGGAGCAAATCTAGATGGAGAAAGGAGAAGTCTCCAACAAAGTCTTAGGCAGCGGTAGCACAGGGGTGAACAAAGCAGGGAAAAAAAATCCTTTTCTTAATGATATTTAAGTATGGTGTATTCCCCAGCTATAGCTCCAAGTTGCTTTGGACTTAGATCTTATGTCTGTTACTGAGGAACCATGATGTGAATGGCAAATAGATGTCTGAAACCTGCTACGTATTGATCTTCATCATCTCTCTCTCATTCCAGTGTGAAACTTGTTGCAAATGATGGAGAGGACGGAAAAGAGGTCTGCCTGGACCCCAAGGCGAAGTGGGTGCAGAAGATTGTGCAGATATTTTTAAAGAAGTGAGTTATTTTTGTTTAAATATTTAATTTTTCCTGACATATATTCTCCAGAAGTCAGCTTACATATTTTATGCTACTACTAAAAATGTTTTTTATTTCTTTTACTTTTCTGCCATACTGAGCAATAGTGAATTTGTTTTACTCCTATCTAAGAAATGACATATCTCAATTTGTCCAGGAAGGTCAGGGCATAGCATGTATTCTGGCATAGTCATTGGTAGAGCCTCATGCTCAGACATGGCCTAGTCTCCTATTTATAGTTGAAAATATAGAGCATTTCTAACCCATGCATATCTAAGACTAGATTAATTTCTCAAGAAAGATATTTTCAGGAATGATACTTACTTCGTCTTATTAGAAAATTGTAATTTTAAAATTTTTACTTTATTTTTTATTTTCAGAGCTGAGAAAGAAGAACCATAAAAACAAAAACAAAAATAAAAACGTTTCTAAGAATTCCTCAGTGAAGATGCCAAAGAAGCTTGAAACAAAAATATTTCATGTATTGTGTAGGCCTAGTGTAGGGACTAGATAAAAAAAAGGATGCCCAGTTAAATTGAATTTTATCAAAACGATGACGTTTTCAATGATTACTGTCCCATGCAATATCTATGACATACTTATTTAAAGGAAAAAAAAAAAAATGTTGTTTACATTAAATCCTCAAGTTCATAGGAACCCTGTATTATTATTCATAACCCTAATCTGGTGGCCAGGTCCCCGGAGTCCCAGTTAAACTGTGTCTTCCTTTCTTCTTTGTTCCTACACTAGGGAAAAATAATTATCAACTCAGCCTTTATCCTACCTCACAGGGATGTTGTGAGGACAGCTGGAAGCACTTTACGTTTTTTCATTGTCATGGAACTTATCTTCAAGTGTAACTTATTCACCTATTTATTATTTATATATTTATTTAAGCATCAACTATATTTGTGCATGAATTTAGAGAAGTGGGAAAGGGAGCATTATTGATAAGATTGTATACTTACAGTGTATTTATATTTATTTTAGTTATTGAAGGATGTTGTATGAAGAAATTTTGATTAAAGTTGACTGATTTAGTAAATTAAAATACCAGGTGCCTGGTTAAATTTGCATTTTAGATAAACTGTGAATCATTTTTCAGTATATCATTGTCTGAAATTTACATTTAACTGGAAGTCCTACTTTTGGTACTCCTGGTCTTATCTTTTCACTGCCTACCTTGCTGGGCAGGGCTGTATTGAATCATCAGAATTCTGGGTTAGAACTATCTGCTTCAAAAGAGCAAAACTGCACTAGGCAATATAAACAGAGTAGTTTCTTGCTGGTTATAATGTACTCATTATGTAGAAATAGATTATGTTTTTTTTTTCAAAACTAGACTTTAATTTATTTTTTTAATTTAAGATGCTTTTATGTGTTTTCAAAGTGATTTTTCCCCTACCTCTTTAATACCATTGAAATAGAGATGTGATTATAAATTATTTCAAAAATACAATTCATTGTCAAAGTCATCAAGTGTTTGTCTTGTCTTTTGTAGTTTTAAAATTCACTGGGAATCTCAGTTTGTATTTAAAGAATCCTTTTATTTGGAAAATCTAAATATTTCTGCTTAGCATTTTGTATTTTATATGGAAAATCGGAAGTCCTTTCAGAGGTGGGTTATAAACAGTTGTCTCTTCCATGGAATACTGGAAATTATCTCAACTGCCCCCTGCATATCACTTTGCTAATAAGACTGGCTTCAAATTTTTCATCAATCAGAAAGTATTTACTGAATTCCTACCATGTGCCTACATAGCTTAATACTAACTCATTAAGAGAAAGGAGAGAGTACAAATTATAAGGTACCTATTAACTCATTAAGGAGATTAAACTGACACATATGAAGTGAAGAAAATCATTTGACAATATGACTAAAGGCAGAAGTTTATTAGCACTTTTTTGACACGTTTTAAGTCACAAGTTTAATATTGTATTATTTTTCATAGTAACCAAAAAGTAGGTAGCACCATCTCCACTTTACCAATGAGAAAATGAAGGCTCAGAGAAGTTCAATAACTGGCTCAAGGTCACAGTAATCATAAAAAATATGCATAGGTACACAAATAATTTAATAAAAGACTACCTGATTGAAACCTGTTAGATTCAGTGACAGATACCATGTGCTCTCCTCTTCATGACACCAGGACTAAATTGTTTTATACATATTGTAAGGGAAAATGTGCACATTATGAAGTTTGGAGTTACCAAAGAATGTTTTTGCATGACAGATACTGATTGACATGGGTCCATTGCCCAAGATTAATTTCTTGATGCCATTGACTTTGTGTACAGTTGCCATTGATGCTTCCTGTTGGTGTTTATTCTAAGATCTCTCTATGTGTTTACTTCTACATTCAGAGATGGCCTCAATTTCTTCTTTAGGTCTGTCTCTTCCTCTCTTTAATTTTGCTCCACATCCAAATCTATCTTTGCTTCTCACTCCAAGCAGATTTTATTTTCCTTGGTCTGCACAGAAAGTTTGATCATCAGCAGCTTTCTCACTGGTCTGAAAAGAGAGCTGTGTGGTAGACACAGACAATTTTGTAATATCCATGAAAATGTTATTTTTTTTTTCTTAATGGATGCATTTCACAGTATAAAGATAAGTGAACTTTGTCAAGGGCTATCAGAGTAAATATTATATTCTCATTCTGATATATCATGCACACTTGGCAGCTCAAAAGAACACATATCATATTAATATACTAAGCACATTTAGGAACTTGAAAAACAACTGGGTGGCCAGGCTGCAACTCCCACTGAAAACAAGTGAAGTAAAGTATTAAATATCTCTTTAAAAATCATTTCTGATGAACTCATCAGAAAGTGAAAAATAATCCATAATTTGATGTAAACTAGAAACCAAAGAATCAAACTAAGTATTGAAGCTGGCATTTATCCTCCCTGGGTACATATGTTAAACCTGTTAAACTTCTGTTAAACGTTTATCATACTCCCACCTAATCAGTTGGTGGATATTGCAAAGACTATGGTTAGAAGGACCATATTTAGTAATTCACTACACCACAGACTAACCCTTGGTTCTTCTACCCCCTGGCCCTTTCATACTTGAAGGATTAACTAATCACTTTACCAGTGCAAAACAATCATTAAAAATTAGTCCTTCAGTAGGGCAAAGAGTCCTCAGGTGACATAACTCAGGTACCAGACTTTTAGGTCTGCTGCAGGTACCCATTTAATCTGGTTAAAACAAAAACAACAACTCACTGTCGTCAAGTTGGATCCCACTCACAGCAACCCCTCTTTGCGTTTCTGAGGCAGTATCACTATGGAAGTAGATTGCTCAATCTTCCTTCCGAGGAATGGCTGGAGGATTTGAACTGCCAGCCTTCTGGTTAGCAGTCAAATTCCTTAGGAACTACACCACCACTTGTTGTTATGTGCTGTTGAGTCGGACCCGACTCATAGCGACCCCCCCTTGGGTTTCCGAAGCAGTATCACTACGGAAGTAGATTGCCCAACCTTCCTTCTGAGGAGTGGCTGGTGGGTTTGAACCGCCAGCCTTCTGGTTAGCAGTCAAGTTCCTTAGGCACTACGCTACCAGAGCTCCTACCAGAGCTCCCCTTTAATCTGGTTAGCTTTAATCTGGTTAGGTTCTTCAAAAATTGTCTCAGCTCCACTCTCTGGCTTCTGATGAAATTAACTGAGAGAAGATTATTCTCTTGCTCTGAGACTCCTGACATATCAGTATATCAAAATCTTTAAGAGTCTTTAGGTTTAGCCAATTTTTCCAGTCTAGAAATACTTCCCTCTTAGTCAACTCTCTCACAGTTACTACGTCTACAATCAGTTTTATAATCACAACCAGTCTGTTAACAATTTACACTCACAGCTGAATCATATAATCCAATCAGCATCTTTCCCCACCTTCTCTCCTACAGCCATCAGGATAGGAGGAAACTTTGTGAGGATCCTCCCTTGTCTCCCTCATTTTGAGTCTAAGCATACTTACAAAAGCCTGACACATCGTGCCTTCTCCTTCACCCCTCCATTTTAGATAGCCAATGTTTAAATTGCCCAACCCTATCAAACGAGTATTGATGAGACAAGTATGTTCCTTTCTCTGAAGAATCTTCTGTTCTGTTTGAGACTTTGAGCATCTGCATCCACAAGCAAAGTCCAGTCCAGTACAAGCCATCAGAATGCAGCAATTTACAACAGCTCACAAAGTCAAACATTTTTCTCTTCATTCAATCAGATTCTGCTCAGCTCATCCCTAGCCCCCGTGTGTTAGGTCAATGGATATCACTCATAGGCTCAGGAGTCCACACAACTCCCTACACTTCAGACCAGACAGTCCTTTCTCTCTTTCTCTCATCCCTAGCCTTTGTGGGCTCGGTCAATGGGTGCCAATCGAACATGTCCAAATTCAGCCTGTTTCTTCTTTGCTGCACTTTTTCCACTTCCATTCATCAAATGGACCCAGGTGGTTAAAATGAGCAAGCATACCAGGCTGTCTACTCACGAGTTACTTTTAACTTCTAATCCTGATTGGGAAATTTTTCCATGGGCACTGCACTAATTTTTCCTGCCTCAATGCACTGAAAGACACACCTCTTGTTTGAAATCCAAAAACAAAGCAATTTTCCTTTTTTTTTTCTTTTGCAGATCCTTCCTTCAAATGCAAACCTCCAGCCCTTGCAGCAGTCCTAGGTGAGTCTGAACGTTTTTTCAAATGCAAATTTCCTAGTGCAGCTCAAGTTTGCCACCTAAGCCCTCAGAATTCTATACACAGG